TGTGTGCTACTTCCTAAGTAACTCTTTGGGAATGCTGCAGGGTTGCCTCTGCCTATAATGAGGACTTCCATTCCGAGAGATTGGAGGGAAATCAGACATTAATTCTCACTGCCACCCATCTGCCAGCAGAGGTCCAGACAACAGGAAGGAAGCAGAGCGAGTCTGACAATGGGCGTAGAACAGATACTTTTCATTCGTTTCCCCAGGGCGGCCCATAGGCTCACAGGTATCTCCTCTGTCTTCATCAAACCTGGGCTTGGGGAAAACCCTGTCCTCAAATCCTTGATGTTTGGCTTCTGGATTTTTTGGGCCCTCCGCACACTATGTTTATAAGCATTGTTATCTTTTTATTGCCCTGACAGAGAGCTTCTTGAAAACAGAGACCAGACTTCATTCACCTTTTTTTCCCCTAGCCCTGGGCCTGGCACATGTCTGTGTCTCACACAGCCCTGCCAGTCAGGTCTACTGTGGTCCCACACAGCTCTCCTTGGATGTTGTTCTTCAAGAGAAATGTAGCCTTTTCTTTACCAGTTCAAATGTCACCTCCTACAGAAACTTCCCTAGTCCCTAAAATCAAAAGGGGCCTCTCATTGTGTATGTTGTTTCCTCTCACCTCAAGAAGGTTCCAGTCCGATAGGGGTTACAGATGCAAAAAACTGAGTACAATCCACTGTGGCGCTAGAACAAACAGTGAAGACTTCAGAACAGGCAGAGAATCACTGGGTGCCATTTCAGCGAGTGAGTGTTGTCCAGGGTTCTGTGTTATCTGATTCTCTAGGATCTGCACATTGGATGGTCTTTTGCTGGGTTATTTTGTAGCTCTGCAGAGATAGATGTTAACTTGTGGAGGACTGATGAGCATACAGATGTTTCCTATCTTCTGTGTGATGCAGATTGTTTCTGTTGTGACAGTGTAAATGGATTTAGGCCAGTAGAGAGTAAGTCCAATTTTCGTTTGAAACAGTTGTAAAATCTTATTGGTTCCCTCCTAATTAATGAGTTACATAAACATATGTTCATTTTATCTATTTGAGAGCCATGATTATACCATTTTCAAAATTATCTTTAATCGTGGTAAGAGCTATCTATGGCAGAGGTAGTGTTAATACTTACTGAGCATTTATTCTCGATCAGTTACTATGCCAAGGATTTTATGGACTTTACTTAATTCTCATGGCAACACCATAGGCCTTTTATTACTAGTCTTGTTTTACACATGTAGGAACTGAGTCCTGCAGGTGAAGTAACATGCCTGACTCAGAGTTAGTAACCAATCTGGAATTTGTACCCTGAGACCTGGGATTTAAACAGAGATCCGTACTCCAACCATGCTGTAGACAGAAGGGCAATCAAAAACAAACTGGGACATCAGGTAAGCCCTCCTGTAAGAGGACACATGAACCACATCTCAAAGGGTGAATGAGTTGGTGTGAAGGAGAAGGGAGGGAGGGGTTTCCAGGCTCAAGTTAGCCTGTAGGAAGGCAGAGAGGTCTGAAACAAGGTCCTGCACTTGAGGGACTAAGACACTCAGTTGGACTGGAGAGCAGGGTGTGGGCGGAGGGCAGGCGGAGATAAGACTGAAGAGGTAGATATACAGGAGCCGATCAAGAGGGCACTGTGGGCCAAGCTAAGGAGTTTGGACTTTACCCTCAAACTATAGGATTTTAAGGAGAGGAGTGACATGATGAGATGAGTTTCATTATTTTTACCTTTATTGTTTTTATGAAAGTTATACAAACAACTGAGAGATTTGGCCTTTTAAGCTTTTTTGTAGTTGATTTTTTGAGAGAGAAACATCAACTTGTTCTACTTATTGATGCATTCATTGGGACAATGCTGTAACCAACTGAGCTACCTGGCCAGAGCTGGGATTTGGCCTTTTTATTTTTTTTAACCTCACCTGAGACATTTTTTCATTGCTTTTAAAGAGGAAGGGAGAGAGAGAAACATTAGTGCAAGAGAGAAGCATCGACTGGTTGCCTCTCATATGCACTCGGACCAGAGATCGTACAGGCCTGGCCAGGGGATTGAACCCACAACCTAGGTATGTGCCCTGGCTGGGAATTGAACCCATGACCCTTTGGTTACGGGATGATGCTCCAACTAACTGAGCCACACCAACCGGGGGTGATATTTGGCCTTTTTAGAGAAATCATTTTGGCAGCAATATTGAGGGAGGACTGGAGGTGCTGAGAATAGAGATAGGGAGGGCGTTAGAAACCAAGCCTGGCCCTCGCTGGTGTGACCACAGGCCAGGTCCCCGGCTGGGGATGTGTGAGAGGCAGCTGGTTGGTGTATCTCACACATTGATATTTCTCTCCCTCTCTCCCCATCTCTCTAAAAATTAATAAAATCTTTAAGAAAAGAAAGCAAGACCATGGCAGGGGAAAGAACGTGGCAGGAGGGGACGAAAAAGAGAAACAGTAAAGCAGTTTAACCTACACATTTGGGCAACTGCTGAAGTATGTGAGTGCAGGGGAAAGGCTGGGGCCTAGGTGGAAGGTTAAGAGCCCTCCAAAATGCCTAGCTCTGAAAACCCACGGCCGGCCTGTTCTTGTTCATCCTTAGCATTTGAGAAACAAGGCAGTACTTAGAATGTAAAAGGGAAAGGATTGTTATCAAAAAGCCTCTATAGCTCCCATTCTGAAGAGCATATATAAATAGAGCGTGACACAGAAGCACCCAGACTCTTCTTTTGGCCTCAAGGAAAAAAAAAAAAAAAAAAAGCAGTGCAGAGAAAGGAAAAGAAATATAAACCACAATGACAACAAACACCATGGGTCTTGTCTGGGTGATTGCATGTACAGATTGTCAGCACACCAGGTGATTTTTAAATCCCAGCCCAGTTCCTCTCCTGGCTTTTTAATGGCCACTGGTCACTTCCTCTTGGGACTGGGCCAGAATAAGCTCAGGAAACGCAAACTTTTAATTCTGGAATCAGTAAAGTATATTAGGAGAGGAAATCCCCAAGTGAAGAAATCACATTATGAATTCCAAAGCCAAGGGAAAGGATTTTAAGATTGTGAATTTGTTGGGGACAGGACCATTTTACTCATTTTGGTGTGGGACCCTAGTGATTCATTTGGTCATTATTCACCCGTCAACATTACCCAGGGTTCAGCCTCTTCCATTCTTGTATGTTTCCAGCTTCCATCCACTGCAACCTTCAGCTCTAGCCTCTGAGCTTACTGCAGCCTTGCTTCACACTCTCCTGACAGCAGGGGAGATGTCGCCTGCTAGGATAAGACCCAGTTAAAGCGTCAGTATTTTTCTTTATACCCACCCACCTGGGATTTGCGTGAATCAGATGAGTGAATATACTTGACGGCCTTTTTAAACTCTGATGAGCTATACAAATATTACCAGGTCTTCTGTCTTGTTCTGGCTAATGATTTAACTGATACTTGCTATAGTGCATTTCAGAATATTCAAGTAGATTCAGATTTTATTTTTAAAACTACTGTGTGCTCAATATGCTACTACTGTGCAGTCTACAGTATGCTGTGTTATTCCATGTTTAATCCTCACAATAATTTTGTTTACCAAAGAGGCTCACAGAAATTAACCTGCTCAAGAATATCCATTGTAGGCCCTCCTGGTACTGTGTTAGAGACTTTTGCATGTGCTGCCCATTACAGTACCTACTACATACCCTTCCCTGCTACCTTGGAAGCTGTGGGTGCCAGGGACTGGATTTTGTTCACTGTTACGTATCCTCTATCCAGCAAATGGGCACATCAAAGACGTGTTTGGACGGGCACATCCAAAAAAACAGTTTAGATGAAGAAAGGAATGAGAGCTGACCTTGCACCCACTGCTCTATCCTGAACACTGTTGTTTCCTTGTTCACCGTTTTCCCCTATCAGACTGTAAGATGCATGGTGTTAAAAAACAAAACTCAGCCAGGTAAATTTGAGCATCTAATTGGCTTTATTAAGCTACTCTTCCCATGTAACAACTGGAAGGGTGCTCAAATGAGTTGTACAAAATGAAAGGTTTTATAGGCAGACAGAGGGTGGGACTGAGAAGTTAGACCCAATTTCAGGCAAGGACACCTCTTAGGGGAACACTACAGGTCTCATCAGTCAGATTACCTCACAAGCACTGATCAGAAAATTCCAGACTGATTGGGTTAAAATTCCACTCCTGGGAGAAGCTGAAACTGTAATTAGGTTAGTTACTGAGTTTTGGTTTGGGGTGTGGCTTAACAAAAGTAACTCCAATTTGGCTTGCTGTTTCTTTTTTTTAAAAAAACAGTGCCAAGACTGTGTTTCCTTCATGGCTGGATTCTCAAAGCCTTGACTAACGCTTAGGGCATAGTAAGGGTTCAACAAATACTTCTCAGTAAATAGACAAGTGATAAATGGGCAGACAGGCAATTCTTACGTGTGTGTGTGTGTTTGTGTGATATCAGTGTATATTTTCCTGATGCTGACTTCAGTAAGATAATGTTTAAGACTGCGACACTGTGACTTGGGTAACTGCTGAACACTCTGGCTTCCTGAGTTAAACATTCACTTGTAGCCTAATGATGAAATCATAACTTGAGACTACTGTGCTCTTAAGTTCACCTCTTTCATCAGATGCAACTCTTGAAGTAGAAAAAAAATAACTTGCTTGTAATAATCATCAGCTTCATTTTCTAGATCAAATGTAGTGTTTTTTTCCTTTGTAAACCAGTAGTATGTGCTATATTAAATGTTATCTTTTAGTATAAAAGTAACCATCATAGTAATAAAATTTGGAATAGAGAGGAGATATAGGGGAAAAAGTCACCTCTATTTTTACTAGGCTCACAAAATGATTAGCATTTGTGCTTGTCCTTTTCACCCTGTGCATGTATATGTATGTATTATGCATATATATGGACATATATCATGGTAGGTTATATTCTACTTTATTTAACATTGTGTGATGTTTACCTCATAAGGATCCAGTTAGTTATTGATACACATTTTAGGGTTTTTCAAATAAATTGATAATTTCAAAGACAGACATAATTTTCTTTTTTAAAGAGTTTATTTATTTTAGAGGGGAAGGGAGGAAGAGAGAGAGGGAGAGAAACACCGATGTGTGAGAGAAACATCATTTGGTTGCCTCTTGCACCCTCACGACTGGGGACCTGGCCTGCAACCCGGGCATATGCCCCAACTGGGAATTGAACCAATGACAGGTTGGCACTCAATCCACTGAGCCACACCAACCAGGGCCAGACATAATTTTCTTATATAAATTCCAGACCTGGAATTCTAGTAAAAGATGTGAACTAGTGATAACTTGACATAGATTATGAAATTGCTTTGCCAATGTTTTACCAATTTATTCAGCCACCAACTGATTATAATTTAAATGTTATCAACGTAGTGGGGAAAATAATAACCTCATCATTCTTTCAGTTTGCATTTAAGAACATAGGGGAAGAGAACTTGAATTATGATTGGTTAACTAGTTATATTTTAGATGCTTCTTTTTGATAATCATCACAAATATTGAGGGGAAAAGTTTGTCTGCTAGTTGGGCATCTCTCCCTTCCCTATGAGACTGAGTACTGTTAGAATAGGAAGAGCAAGGGCTTTGGGATTTAAATCCACCTTCCTGAAAGAGCTGAACATATATACACCAACCTTTTGAGTTGTTGCATTTCTTCTCATTTAACCTAAAGGGAGGATCTGATCAAAAAGGCAAATTTGACCATTTGGCTAATAGTATCTCCAAGAGTCACTTGCACATAATCATCTGCAAGTTAAGAATCCATTTTGGGAATTAGAAGAGCTCACTTTTTTCCTCAAGTATTAATCTTTTGAACCAAAGGAAATTGTAATATTTTTTAGAGGAAGAGGAAGGGAGGGGAGGGAGAAACGGAAGGAAGAAGTGGGGGAGGGGGAGAGACAGACAGACACAGACAGACATATCTGTTTGTTGTTCCACTTATGTATGCATTCATTGGTTGATTTTTGTATGGGTCCTGACCGGGAATCAAACCAGCAACCTTGGCATATCAAGATGGCACTCTAACCAACTGAGCTACCTGGCCAGGGCAACTATTTTTATTGTTGTTATTTTGATTTTTAAAACAGTGAGATGCTTACACTTATTATTAAGCCCTTGCTTAACATGCGGTGCCACAGATCAACTAACCTTCACAACAACCCTAAAGAGGTTAATACTAATTATTAACACTTCACAGAGAAAAAACCTGATGCTTGCGGAGGCTAAGTAACTTGAGGTCATACAACCTTGTGCACCTATGTTGTTAAGCAGCCAGTAGGCTGTGATTCCTTTGATAGCTATCCCAGTCTTCTCTGGCAAGTCAGGGTAAAGGTAGCAAAATAAGGAAATCATTGCTGTTGCACTGTGGAGAAAGATACTCTACCAGTCACTCACGTGAACGCTTTGTCACCACAGCCCAGACTGAATGGAGGAAAGGGTGACTGAATCTAAAACTCTAAAGCTGGAACACATTTCAGGAGGGATGATGTCCGTGAAATCCCCGTAGGTGCTTCTGAAGCTGCTCAGCTTAACTGCTCACATTTGGGCAAGCCGGGCAAGTTTGGGCTGTCACTTCCTGTCAGGTATTGAAAGAATTTTCATAGTGACACAGTCTATCATTAACCTCTTAAAACAAACCATCTGCAAAGGTAGCAATTTGGTGTTAACCTTTCCTCATCTTTCCTACCAAAGGCAGAGGGGAAGGGGACACGATTGATTATTAAGTTTATAATACTGTGAATTATTTGCTAGGGAAGGTAAGACCCAGACATTCAGATTTTTCAGACAAACCAATACCCAGTTTATCAAACTGAAATTCAATACAATAAAACATTGGCTTATACAAAAATATTAAATGGCTATTATTTTTTTCCTTATTAAAATACAGGATTAATACTCTGTACTGACGTATCTGTGGTACAAACATAAAATTCTAAGTTCAGACAACTCAAAAATCCAGAGGTTTAGTCATCAATGTGATTAAATCAGGGATAAAATTTCTGAATTTTCCATATATTTTTTTACCATCATCCTTTCCTCAATACTTTTTGTACAAATTATTCATTTATCTTGGCTAGTTAAGATCATTTAAGTTCTCACCAGATTTGAGTATAACATGCTAATATGTTTGGTACCATGCTCATCCTCAGTTGTCTAACCCATCAGTTTCTTAATTTTCTAGCTTTGACTTGGGGGCCTGTTTCAGCACGTTAGTTTTGAAGCCTTTTTGGGTATTACACTATGTAGGAGCTGTGCATGTTCTCTCTGACTTTCAGAGGGTGTAGGGCAGAGAAAAGAAAGAGAGGCAGGCACTCTGTGTACATCTCTTTTCCCAAAGCAGCCACTGAACTTTGTGAACTGAAATAAAACTCAGTTCTCACATGGAGTAAGGGACAACAGACTGGATCAGAAAGGCTCAGCAGCTTCATTGTTGAATGCAACACTGTAACACAGAGGATTTAGTTGCTTGTTAGCAAGAATAGATGGCACAGGGTAGACCTATGTTGGGTTTTAGTGTTGGCTCTGTTACCAAAACTGATCTTAAATAAATCCCTTAATCCTGTATCCTCAGTGGGAGAAAAGTCAGGGTTAGACTGGGTGATGAACAGTTTAGTTCCAGCTTTGAGCCCGTTTTTAACCCTTGCTTCTGAAAACAGCAGCTTCAGAAACTTTCCTTCTAATAAGTGGTAATTAATCTGCACCATGAACCCCTCCCTTCACTAATAAGATTCAGTTATTGACCAAAGACCAACTTAGCTCAACAAATGGACAGAGAAAAATCCTACACACGTGCTTTATTAATTTCTCCTCTTCCCCCCCCCCATTTCCTTTACTTATATTTCCTCACTGACGGTGATCCTCATTTTTATAGAAGGGAAAAGAGGCATGAGGTAGGTTATGGACCCAAGTCCATGGAAGAATGGCAGAATCCAAACTAGAGCCAAGCCTGCCGACAGTCACAGCAGGCTTCTCCCATAAACACCTTCTCCCTCTGACATGATGCTCAGGCATGGGAAAGGAGTTTTCATTGTGTCCTTACAGGTAACTGCTCTGGATGCTTTCAGAGAGATGGTTTCAAAATACACTCTTGATTGCCTTAAAGTAAAGAGGAAGGGAGAAAAAATAAAATAAGCCATATACACAAAGCCCAGAGCACATAAGCTGAATGATTTAATTTAATATTAGTAAGGGTCAAGTTGAATCTTAATAATGAAAATAAACAGAGTAATATTTTCCTCAAATAAAACATTTGGAGGAAGAAGCATTTCTAAAAAAGAAAAAAAAAAAAGTTTATTTGGAAAAGCCAGCCTCTTCTTATACAAGGTTTTTTAAATCTATACTTTCACTCTATCAATTACAATATTTTAAAATACATTGAATACAATATATAACCCACTGTATGTCTGTTACTGTTCTACCTCAATTTAAAAGATATTAGGTTAAAAAATATTAAGTTTTCATTCTGGTCCGTCTTCCCTCCTATCTTTATACTAAATCCATTTCTCTACTTCTCAAATAAGTGAAAAGGGTCAAATATTTGTGGGGAGAGTTAAGAATGAGTCTAGTAATTCTAACCAAAACATAATTTTCTTTAAGAACTTCTCAGAAAAAAAGAAAAAGTTATTTATTGAACTAAAAACACCTAACAGCTTCCCTCCCAATCCTATCCTTATACGTTTGCTTGGGGCCAAATCTCTCTGGCTCTCTTTAATTAGCAGACATTAAAAAAAGAACAACAACAGAAAAAACCAACCTAAACACTCAAAGACTGAATTTTTCACACAGCTCTAAGATAGGTACAGATATACATGGAACTATGAATCAAAGGGGAAAAATTCAGGAAAAACAACAAAAAGATTAGAAGTATCACAGTTTAACTGAGGTTTTGGAAAAACCTAAGCTGCATTCAGCTGCTGTTTGAAATATCTGTCTACGTTTAATTAGATATATGTTGGATTTACTAAGGAGGCACAAATATATAGTTTTGTATATTTTAATACTAATTTTTACAATGAAAAAATAATACTTAGTGATCTCAAAAGGGACAATGATCTATAAACACTCAAAAGTTTGAAAAGGGGTGCAAAAATAGTAATTTAATGAACTGAACTCAAGAACTGGGCTTCTAATAAGCATCTTAAGAACAGATACCAGAAGGGTGTTGATGAGTACAATGTCTAGAATAGCCAAGATATTTCCAAAGTTTTATGCCCTAAGTTGCCTAAATATATAGCAGGCAGGCACACATGCCAGGCAACTATTGATGCTAGGAAAATACCTTCACCAGGATTTTATAAAATCCCCAACTTTCAACCAATATATCTATCCAGTCTTTCAGTGGTAATGTCTGACAATATGTTACCAATAACACTGAAGCAAGATTAATTTTAAATTTTAGATTTGCTTCAAACAAGTTATTTTTCTTTGTAACGGAATGCAGATAATTCAGCAGAATGGTTTAAAAAGTTAAGGCTCCCTAAAAATTCTAAAGACTAAAACTTAAGGCACATATTATAATCTTTATGACACTGTTAAAAGCTAAGATTAAAAAAAAAAAATCCAACTTCTTTCCCTCATTCTTTGCCAACCACTCCCTCCCCAAAGGATATGGCATTTTAAATTTGGGATAATGGTAAGGAGTGAAAACAAAAATTCCATCGAGGAACACCTAAGTAGGATTTCCACACAAGTGTCCACTATTTGCATTGAGCACCACTGGGAGATTACAGGCCAGTAGAACACTTTCAGATATCTTGGGTCACAAGCTGCTCCGTTTACCCTTCAGCCCCATGGTTCAGACTGGACTCTCCTCCTCTGTGGGGCTTCCCTCTGTGCCTTTCTGATCTGGAGCTTCTGCATTGGTAACTTCTTTTTGCTTCTCAGCATCGATACTGATGTCTTCCTCTCTGTTATCCTTTTCCTGCTGCCTCGCTGCTTTCTGTTCTTTTGCCACAAGTCGATAATTGATGCCCATGCCAATGAAGAGATAGATGCCCGCAGCAATAAGAATGACGCCGCAGGTCCAGTATGTGTATTTGTAGTCTCCATAAATGTCATTGAGGCGACCTAAAAATGGCCAGAAAAAGAGAAAACCACCACCAATGAAGTTACGTGGATAAAAGCAATACCCTTTCCCAAATAAAGCTCAAGGATCTACACGGAAAAATGTCAACCCCAATTCTCAAATGACAAATTAGTTTAAAAAGGAACGGCTAAAAGTGATCTGACCTTTTCTTTACCATGTCACACTTGATTTTGGATGGACTGTTGTACTGTTATTTTTAACAACTTCACTCATCCTTTGCTAAAAATTACCTACTAGCAATACCTTTGCAACATTCAGAGTGCTTAATCCTCACAATAGGCAGATTCTATCATCATTGCCATTGTACATTGTCTAAACTGAAGTGCAAGAGCCTTAAGTAACTTGTCCAAGGTCGCAAAGTTGGTAACAGGTTGGCCTTAAAGCCAGGAAGCCTGACTGAAGTTGCAACTGTAATTCTTGCACTATAAGATACCTCCCTAATGTTTCCAAAGTCAAATACTTTTAGGAAATGGCATAGCTTATTCTTTTCTATTACAGATTCACAATCACAGCATGTCAAGGGCTTTGCAAGGTCCTATAGTAAAGAAATTTATTTAGCCCTGGCTGATGTGGCTCAGTGGATTTGACCCACTAACCAAAGGGTCGTTGGTTTGATTCCTAGTCAGGGCACCTTGCTGGGTTGTGGGCCAGTTCTACAGTAGGGGGCACTTGAGAGACAACAACATATTGCTGTTTCTCTCCCTCTCTCTTTAAAAATAATAAAATCTTCAAAAAAAAAGAAGATGAAATTATAAAAAAAAAATCTAACTTGGTGTTTCCAAGTTTTGGGGGTTTTTTTGGCCATGAAATCCTTGTTATAAAAAACTCGTTAGCATCTCATCAGATTGGCATCTCATAGAATAAACTCTGGGAAACCCTACGCTACAGTATCTATAGAACCAATTCACATATGATTCCATGTGGTTTTCTAACTCAGGCGATCATTTGCTCAGTTTTTACTGAGCCTCTTCATACAGCGAACACTGCATCTACTGGACCCTGAGAAGAAAGGTGAACAAAGGAAATATCTACAGTTAAGTGGAGAGAGGTGTTAGTGAAATAATTATACAAAGTGTGACAAATGCTCCCAGGAGGGTTTGAAAGCAGAAAACAGTGTTGGGATCAGTAAGTAGGTCAGGAAGGCTTCTCAATAGTAAACTAAGCTCTGACTTACAAGAGGTAGGAGCTACTTGGGGGGAAGGGGATGGGTCAGGGATCAAGGCAGAGAACAGGGAGTGCACAGGCAGGTGCTAGGAGGCAGACCAAGGGGTGAGGGGGAAGGAGAAGGGCTGGGCTGCTAGAGGAGAGCACAGGCTTGTGGCAGTAGGAAATGAGGCCAGAGAGGTGGGCTCTGAAGGCCACATTAGGGAATTTGATCTTCACCCTAAGAAGGATGGGAAGCAACTTGAGAGTTTTAATGAGCTGAAATACCAGATTTGCATTTGCAGGGATAATTCTGCCTGTAGAGTAGGAAACATATCGAAGGCTAGCTAGAGTGGACAGAGTAGATATAGACCAGTTAGAGGGCTACTGGAGCAGCCCAGATAGAAACCATGGAGAAGGGAGGTATTGCAATGGAGAAAATGTATGTTAGAAAGAGATTTAGGATGTGAAAACTGACACAAGATTTGGCAACTCACTGGGTACGGCAGGAGAAAGTATGAGTTATATCCAGAAGGAGAGCAGAATTATTTTTTCACTGTTATCTATTGAGCTATTAATTTAAAAGATGAAGTACTTAATAACCTTCGGAAATAGTTCCCAAATTACCCTATTACTAGTTGTGTGATATAAGGCAAATTATTTCACTTTTTTTTTTTGTCATTTGAATTTTTATAAGAGTTTATTGGAGTCAGGCTGATGATGTATGCCAGGGAGCAAGATCTCAAAAGCTCTTATTTCACTTGGCAAAGCCTGTATTTCTTCACTTATTAAATAGGAACTCTAACAGTCCCTACCTCATGGTCTTAGGAGGTATCAGAGGATACAGAAAGTAGTTCGGCCAGTACACTGTGAGCTTACATGGTAGCTGTAATTACTACTACTACTACTACTACTACTAAAATAAACTCCATTATTAAAATGCAGTTACCACCAGTGCTTTAGAGGTGGAGCTGTATTTTACATGTTTTCTTACAATAAGCATGTACATTTTACAAAGAGAAAACATTTTAAGAAAAGTCATTTGTAAAAATATTTAACTCCCCTTATAGCTTGATGGGTCAATTTAATTCAACCCTGCAAGGACTTGAGCAGTCCTGCTGTGCCAGGCGCTATGCCAGCACGGGGGGCACAGAACGAGCAAGACTGGCTCTCCTCCAGCAAGAGTCTCAGGGTCTCTGCTTTCTGTCACCTTCCTCATCCCTGCCTGCTTTATGTGAACCTGGAAATCAGGAGAAATCCCGTACCTAAAAGTGGTGGCCCCAGGAGGACGGGGCAGCATTCCACAATGGTCACCAGTCCCACGGCGCTGGAAAACTTCTGGGGTCCGACAAGGTCCATCAGTGTTTCAAACAATACCGAGCTGAGCCACCCAAATGCAAACCCAAAAATTCCTGCATAGATACAGAACCCAATGTAACTGGTGGACAAAGGTGCTAACAGATGACACACTCCATTTGCAACAATAGAAGCAGCAAAAAAATACTGAACTCGAGGTCTTATCCACTTGGTGTTGGCTACAAGTCCCATAGATGGTCTGGCAACCATGTCAACAAAAGCCAGGATGGAAAGAAGGAAGGCAGACTTCTCACTAGAGAAATGCTGACTCTTGCCATAATTACTTAGAAAGACCAGAGGAGTAAATAGTCCAAAAAACATGATCACGTTTCCAGAGAGGTATAACAAAAAGCCTCTGTGAGTGAACAGGGAGAAGTCCAGGAATTTATTAATTGTTTGGAAGACTGACTGTTTCTCCGTTTTGGGGTTTCCTCCAATGAGATCTGTGTTTGCATCACTTGCCACTTGTTTTGTATCTGATTTTCCAGCTTCCGGAACAGTTTCTTTAGACCGGTATTTCTCCACCGTGCTTGGTGGGGGCCCTATTGGTCGCATCAGGGATCCAGCCACACAGCAGTTCAGGAGGAGGCCTCCAAGAATGAGGAAGCTTCCTCTCCAGCCAAAGATACCAAAGAAAGCCTGATTGAGGGGGGCCAGGGTAGAAAGGAACACAGGGCTGCCTGCCATGGCCAGCCCATTTGCTAGTGGCCGCTTCTTGTAGAAATACTTGCCAATCATGGTCAGAGCTGGATTCAAGTTGAAGGCAAGCCCAAGACCTAGGGAGGAGGGTAAAAAGAATCACATACTGTAATCAGTGTCAGAGATACTTGGAATTACTTAACCAGACAAATAAAACAAATGTGTAAGTAATGGAAGGAGACATAGATTCTCATTATTGAAGGACATATTGTGAGCTCTAAATCCAGACTATGCAGGGTCCACTCTCTGCATCACCACTTGTTATCTCTGTGATGTCAGCCATGCTGACCCCCCGTGACTGTTTCCTAATGTGTAAAACAGGCGCACAGCACTGTTACGAGTAAAGCGCTTAGAACAGTGCCTGGCATGTGGTAAATGCTCAATAAATATGAGTTATTTTTATTGTTTATATTACTTAAAGGTGAATATCTGTTAAATCTTGCAAAATCACCTGAAGGTTCACTATAACCTTAGGGGATCAATAAATAGGCTGTTATCAAACAGAGAGAAAATAGTATTTCAATAGAAAAATACAGCATGAAAATAGTCCTTTTACAATAGCACCCAAAACTAAAAATGTGAAATTAATCATGGAATTAATAATGGCTACAATTGTGTAACTTTCCTGAAATGTTGAATTAAAAATGGCACACACAAGGTTTTTGGATAATAAAACACAACACTCAAAATTTCAACACTCTCCAAATGAATGCACAAATTTTGTGTGATTCCAATGAAAATGTCAATGTATTTTCTTTTGTAGATGAGGTGAAGTGATCCTAACACATACTTAGGGAATACATGGGAGTCAACCAAGGAATTTTTGGTGATGTAGGAGGAGTGGGACTAATTTAAATGGACTTCCAAAAGCTACTATCGTTAGAACAGTGTGGCTCTCTCTGACTCACTAATAGGTAAACACTGATCAGTCAAAGTGGACAAAGTTCAGGAACATACCTGAAATATATAAACATTTAATATTAGACAAAAGTGACATTTTAAATCACCACAGAGGTAATTATTCGATAAAGAGTGCTAGTACAAATAACTTATACATGCTTTTCCTGGCCCCCGTTGCTCCCTACCATTTATGTTTAAGCTGTTCCCATAGGCTTAAACCAACAAACAAGGGCAGGTCACTCCCCGATTTCAAACCTGCTAATGGCTTTCTATCCATAACCTTTACCCTGGCCCTTCCTCCCTCCCTGACCTCATAGCAGACCATTCTCACCTGCACTAATATGCACACAGGTGACGTAGGGCCTGTGTTCCCCTAGATTTTCACAAAGCTAGTTCCATCTTGTTCCTCAGATCTCTATTAAGGTCATCTCTAAAATGAGCCCTTCCTTTTTTTGACTACTCAGTATTCCCTGTCAGAACACTGCAAGACACTGTATAGTATTTGTTCACTACCTGATATTTTACTTATTTATTCATACATTTGTGAGTAGTAGTGTCTGTCTCCTCCCATTAAAGAGAATGACTTTGCATGATGTGTTGCTCTATCCCCACAGCACGTAGAACAGTGCCTGACATAATATGGTGGTTTACTCAAAAACATTTTAAGAGTAAATGAATAAACTGACTAACCATGTGGGAACAAATACGTCGTTCCTCTCATTTTACGTTAAATGTTTTTCATCCACAAGTTTTAAATGTTAAAGAAGGGAGGGCATATTTTTAAAAGAAGGCAAATATTTTCTTTTTTAAATTTTTTTATTGTTCAAATACATTTGTCTCCACCTTCCCGCCACCACTTTCCCCAATATTTTCATAATCTTGGACTGGGAAATAACTTTCTAAGAATAATATGTAAGACAGAAATCACAGACTGAAAATACTTAATACCTGAAAATTGCAGACAATTATAGAAAAACATTGGAAAAGACTAAGTTAAAATTTTTTTTTTCAAACAAAATTCAACTGTGAGAAATTTATTGAGAATATTTGTACACCCATGTTCACAGCAGCATTGTTCACAGCACCTAAAAAGTGGAAGCAACTCGTGCCCATCAGCAGATAAGTGGGCAGATAAAATGTGGTGCATACATTCAATGGAGTCCTATACAGGACATTCGGACACATGCTGTGACATGGATGAACCTTTAGAACAGTATGTTCAGTGAATTAGCCAGTCAAAGAGAGACAAAAACTGTATGATTCTGGGAGAAGATAATTCGCCCGTGATACATCTATTAGAGGGTTAGTATCCAAAATTTATGAAGAACATACAATTCAACACCAAAAAAAAGAAAAAAGAAAAAACCCAAAAAGCAATGCAATTAAAAAATGGGCAGAGGATCTGAATAGACACTTCTCCAAAAAGGACTTATGAAAAGATGGTCATCATCCATAATCATCAGAGAAATTCGAATTAAAACCATAATGAGATACCACCTCATACCTGTTAGAATGGCTGTTATCAAACAGCAAGTGTTGATTAGGCTGTGGAAAAAAAGGAACCCTTGTGCACTATTGGTGGGAATACAAATTGCTGCAAACACTGGAAAACAGTATGATGTTTCCTCAAAAAAATAAAAAATGGAACTGCCTTATGACCCAGCAATTCCACTTCTGGGCAAATATCCAAAAAACCCAAAAACGATTTTGAAAAGATGAATGCACTCCTATGTTCATTGCAGCATAATTTATAACAGCCAAGATACAGAAGCAACCCAAATGCCCAACAAGACAAGTGGATCAAAAGGTTGTACATACAGGGGTTGGCAAAAGTAGATTTACAGTTGTTTGTATGGAAAAAGACGAATATGATCATTACAACAGCTCTATTAACTCAAAAGAATGTGACAATGGCACAGTGTACTTGGGTACAATCTTATAGGTACCACTGTGACATTCTTTTGTGTTAATACAGCTGTTGTAATCATAACTTGCATGTCTCATTTTAATGGTATTTTTTTTGCATGTCTTTTTCCATACAAACAACTGTAAACCTGCTTTTGCCAGCTCCTGTTTATACAACGGAATATTATTTGGACATAAAAAAAGAATGAAACCATACCATTTTCAAGCACATGGATGGACCTAGAGAATATTATGCTAAGTGAAATAAGTCAGAGAAATGGATTGATTTTTGATTTTATTTAAAGGCGCAATCTAAAGAACAAACAAACAAAATAGAAATGGACTCATAGATACAGAGAACAGACTGATGGCTGCCAGAGGGGAGGAGTGTTGGGGTTCTGGGTGAAAAAGGAGAAAGGATTAAGTGCAAATTGGGAGTTACAAAACAGTCACAGGAATGTACAGTACAGCATAGGGAATATAGTCAGTAATATTGTAATAACTATGCATGGTGCCAGGTGGGCACTTGAAATAGCAGGGAATCACTTTGTAAACTACATAATTGTCTAACCACTATGCTGTACACCTGAAACTAATATAAAATAATATTGAGTATAAAAAAAACCCCAACTGTTTGATTCTACCCATAAGAGGTACTTCCACAGACAGAAAAAATGGTGTTTATCAGGGGCTCAGGGAGGCAGGGAATGGGGAGGATGAGGAGTTATTTAGTGGGTATAGAGTTTCAGTTCTGCAAGATAAAAAGTGTTCTAGAGATGGATGGTGGCAATGTGAATATACACAGAAATACTGAACACTTAAGTGGTCAATAAGCATTTCTTTAAAAAATAAAAGTTACTTTCCTAATAAAGAGATGAAAATTAAAACCGAGAGATACTATTCATCTGCTAAAATGACAATGATTAAGAGAGATAATATCCCATCATTGTCAAGGGTATATCCCTGTCTCATATAGTGAAACTTAAATAAATGTAACTTTTCTGGAGGGGAATTTAGTTTATGTATTTTAAAAAAACATAGCAGTTCCACTTTTACAAATCTATCCTAAGAAAATATTCATATTCACAAAGGACTATCAACATAATACTATTTACTACTAATACAGGGATGCCCAGGCTGGTGTGGCTCAGTGGATTGAGCACCGACCTGTGAACCAAAGAGTTGTTGGTTCGATTCCCAGTCAGGGCACATGCCTGGATTGCAAGCCAGGTCCCCAGTTAGGGGCACGTGAGAGGCAACCACACATTCATGTTTCTCTCCCTCTCTCTTCCCTTCCCCTCTGTCCAAAAATACATAAATAAAATCTTTAAAAATAATAATACAGGGGAAACTCAAAAGCCTAAATATCCAATAAGTAACTAAGAGACTGGTCAAATAAAAGTATGGCATATATCTATTCAATGGAGATAACAGAGATTAGAAGTGTTTTCTATCAGAATATTTAATGGCATAGGAAGATGTTCATGATCTAGAAAGTAGAAAGAAACTGGTTATAAAACATGTAATCTGATCCTTTTTTGTTTTAAAAAAGGTTATGATTGTGCATAGAAAAATGTTTGCAAGGATACACACCAAAATATGAACAGTCATATTCTCTGGATTATGAAGTTATGAGTAATCTGTGGCTATTAAAAAAGGGGGGAGGGATTATCAAAAGGATCCTCTCCCTCAGAAATGTACGTGGATGTTCTACCAGATAATTCATACTTTATGCTTAACACTCTCCCCTCTTCCAGTAGAAGCCCATTTCCCATGAGAGGAAGAGGTAATGAGAGAGAATAATAACCAGAGACCACCCTTGCAACAAGTTGCCAGACACATTTTATCTATTACTGACTATTCTTAGGACAAGGGATGCAATCATCTCTTTCAATTCATTCATTCATTTGAAAACAAACACCTACTGTGTCACAGGAATTTTTTAAAAAATTGTTTCTAGTGCTCAGTGTATTTACAACTCTTTCAAATCATAATCAAGTAATTTCTATAAGGAAGGAATTTCACAAGGTATCTAAAAGACAAATGCAGGTGAACACCAAATAGCCAGCAACAAATTAATGCTTGAACATGAATCTATAACAACTTACCTCCAATGACTCCGATACATAGGTAAAGCTCTTGTACACTGTTACAGAAAGAAGCTGCAATCAAGCCACAACCTGACAAGCAGCCACCAACAATCATCACTGGACGACTGCCGTATTTATTCACAAGGATACTGCTGATAGGACCTAAGAAAGAATCAAAAGTTTAGTGGTAATAGAGGAAAGGAACCTACCCCCTTCACATCTATACAAGGCATTAATGACACTAAATGACAAGTTCTCCAAAATAAACGGATACAACAGAGGACAATGGGAAGAATATTGCTTTCTGTAATTCTTTCATAGTCATAGGTTTGTGTACTGGAAAATAAAGAGCTTAAGAAACATCATAAAATGTGTATCTTTTATATCTAGATATAGTGGATGGAAAGACTAGACCCTTAATATTTCTCTTGTAAGGTACAACAGGCTGGAAATGCATTGGTAGTGGATGTTCATGGGCTTCTTGATGTATCTAGGATATGATGGTTTAATTTTTGGACAGGCATGCTGACATGATGAGAATATTTTAGAGCCTTATTTACATACTATCATAAATGTGGCTTTATTTTTTTATAAATAAAAAAATGACAAAAATTCACAATTTTTTTTCCAAGTTCATATAGTTTTGCAGTTAGTACATCTACATTTAAAATAAAACCAAAGAAAATTGTTTGCAGTTATATCTCTAGGTCTCAGGTATTGAATTAAATTGAATTATGCCTTTTAGAGAGCTAAGCTGTTTGCATGCCTATATTACTACTTTGGGTTAGCTAATACTGTGGATAAACGTGCTTGTAGGAAAAGATTAAGTGAGATAATGGTGAAAATCTCCTTGGGTGTAATGCCTTATGAGGATAGGAAATGGAGTGTTATCTAAGAAAACCAGATTAAATTTCTTCAGCTAAATAGATGCATACAAAAAAAAAAATCAGTTTTTCTTGAATATGAGAGAAGGAACCAAATAAAAAATGAGTTATTAAGAGCCAAGAAAAAAAAGATTTTATGCATTTCACATGTCAGTTTTTGAATACAAAAGTCAAATGGCCTCTTCTTATTTGCTGCAATAGGTATAATCTGTAATTCCCCCTTTCCAAATGTGTCTTAATTATAAGAAAGTCTTACCCAAAGCAAACAATGGTTTAAAAGCTATAACACAATTCTTACGTAGACTAATATTTGCTGATTACAAATTAAATGACATTCACTGAATGTCATTTATAAGAATACTTAGGTCTCTAATTCATGAATATTAATTTGTGGAAATGATAACTTTGTTTACATGACACCAAACTTGTCTATCTGGTTAAGGTAGGGTTGGCCAAAAAATTCCTTTGGTTTTTTTCCGTAAGATGGCTGGAGTAGCATTTAGTTGTCTTTAACTTCATTTGAAACAATTTTGTTAGGTTGTATTGTGACAGCTGTCATATCACCATGCATTTAAAAAGAACTTAATAAAATTGGTCAATTTTTGTGTAGCCATCTTAATAATGAAGATGGAAAAAAATACACAACATTTTCAGCATATTTTATTATTTCAAGAAAGGTGAAAATGCAACTGAAATGCAAAAAATGATCTGTGCAGTGTATGGAGATGGTGCTGTGACTGATCAAATGTGTCAAAAGTGGTTTGCAAAGTTTTGTGCTGGAGTGCTGGAGATTTCTCACTGGACAGTGTTCCACGGTCAGATACACCAGTCAAACTTGACAGCGATCAATTCAAGATATTACTTGAGAACAATCAATATTATACCATGCAAGAGATAGCTGACGTACTCAATATATCCAAATCAATAAAGTTATTGGTGAAAATGAAAAATGTGTCTTTTATTTTATGGAAAAAAACATGTGGACTTTTTAGCTAACCCAATAGATGACTATAAATAAAGAGTCACTACAATGCAGCATTATGGAAGGGCATGTTTGAACTTGGGTGGTCACAAAGCTAGTGAGACCCAAATTTCAAGTACAGCCCATGTTCTTCCCATTATATGCATTCTATATTTTTGGAACTAAGTTATAAAGCAGAAAACATACAAATCATATTTCTCTTCTATCAGCAAAGTAAATTATTACTTTATTTGATTTACTGTACATTTACAGGTACCAGGTTACCTGTTTTCTCTGTGCAATGAAATTATACATTTAATTCAATTATGACTTCAACTACTTATTTCTGTTTCATGAGTTTATGTTGTTGTCTGAACAGGATTATGCGTAAACTTCCCAAAGGCAGGGCTCAAGATCAGTGCTATCACAACACCTAACCTAGTGTGGAATATGTGCATAGTGCCAATAAAAATTGGTTGTGCCCTGGGCCGGGTATCTCAGTTAGAGCGTCACTCCAATATGCCAAGGTTGCAGGTTCGATCCCCTGTCAGGACACATACAAGAAGCAACCAATGAATGCATAAATAAGCAGAACAACAAATTGGTGTTTCTCTCTTCCCTTCTTCTCTAATAAATAAATACAAATTAAAACCAAAACAAAAATTAGTTGAATCTACCACCAGGTTAGATGTCTAAGGCTCAGATTTAACAGTTGAAATAGAAAACATTTATACTGGCTATTAAAGAACTACATATGAAAATGATCTAAGGTACTAAAGTGCCACCAAAAATAAGATTACGGGAAGTGAAAAACTTGCCTAAATAAGCAACATAAGACAGTGTTAATCCCAGTAAATAAATGCATTTGGCTTTAGATCTCTGCTAACTAAGCAACTATATATTTTAAGTACTATGATAGGTTTTGACCTTTACATGTTAAATTGTGGTTTGGTGTTCCAAGGTGAAACAAACAGTATTTAAAATGATGTTATTCAGAGACTCTGGTCAAGATGGAGGTGAGGTAGCCATGCTTCCCTTGCACAACCATAAGAAGGATCACAACCTCAAAACAAAAAAACGTCCAGGAACTGCCAGAAAATCTAACTGTATGGAAGTCCAACAACCAAGGATTTAAAGAACCCAAATTCATCCAAATGGTAGGACAGGCAGAGATGGGGAGCTGGGGTGGAGAGGATGCAGCATGGCAGTGGCAGCCAGCAGAATGGGCAGTCCCACATTCATGTGTGGTGGGTAAAATTAGGGATACCTTGGAAGCCAGTGATTACTGCCCCAAGTCAGACTGCACGACCCAGGGTTCCAGCACTGGGAAAATGAAGCCTCACAACTTCTGGCCTCTAAAACCCAGTGGGGATTGGGGCTACAGAAGAAACTGACAGTGTCTTCTTAAAAGTCCATTTAAGGGGCCTGCATAGTCCTAGAACTAATGCAAACCCACCCACTCTGGCAACTACCTCTGGAGAAGCAGCTAGGGGGACACGAGTCACATATGCGAAGGAGGTGAACTGACTAGAAACAGGGCGAATGCTGAGCAAGCCTTTAGCAGCCAGACAGCACCATTGTCCCCTCTCCAACCTCTCTTCCACATACAAAGCCACAAAAGCGTGAAGCAGGTTGCCCCATCTTAGCAAATACCTAAAGGCTCCGCCCCATACAACTTAACAGGTGTGCTAAGACATGGAGTCAAAGCAGCTCTACCTAATACACAGAAACAGAGAGAGAAAGGAGACCAAATTGAGGAGACAAAGAAATACGGCCCAAATGATAGAAGAGAATAAAACCCCAGAGAAAGAAAGAAGCAAAACGGGGATAACCAACCTATCAGATGCAGAATTCAAAACACTGGTGATAAGGATGTTCAGAGAACTCACTGAGTATGGCAAAAGCATAAGGGAAGAAATGAAGGCTACACTAAGTAAAATAAAGAAAAGTCTACAGGGAACCAGCAGTGAAGGAAAGGAAGCTGGGGTTCAAATCAATGAGTTGGAACATAAGAAATAAAGTCAACCAGTATAGAATGAAGAAACAATAATTCAAAATGTACAAGGGGAGAATTAGAAGACTCAGACATCTCTAAAAGTCCCAACATCTGAATCATAGGGAAGCCAGAAGGAGAAGTGGAAGAGCAAGAAATTGAAAACTTAATTGAAAAAATAATGAAAGAAGACTTCCCTAATTTGGCAAAGGAAATAGACATACAAGACCAGGAAAAACAGAGAATCCCAAACAAGTTGGACCCAAAGAAGACAACACCAAGACATATCATACTTAAAATGCCAAAGGTTAAAGATAGAGAATCTTAAAAGCTGCAAGAGAAAAGCAGAGAATTACCTACAATGGGTTCCCATAAGACTATCAGCTGATTTCTCAAAAAGAAACTTTGCAGGCAACAAAGGACTGGCAAGAAGTATTCAAAGTGATGAAAAGCAAGGACCTACAACCAAGATTACTCTATCTAGCAAAGTTATCATTTAGAATGGAAGGGCAGATAAAAGTGCTTCCCAGAAAGGTAAAGCTAAAGGAGTTCATCATCACAAAGCCCGTATTATATGAAATGTTAAAGGGACTTACTTAAGAAAAAGATAATCAAAACTGTGAACATTAAAATGACAACAACTATCATCAACTGAATCGAAAAAATTAAAACAAACTAAGCAAACAACTAGAACAGGATATGGAGATCCTTTGGAGGGTTATCAGTGGGGAGGGGGAAGTGGGAGAATGGGGGAAAGGTGCAGGGATTAAGAAGCACAAACTGGTAGATACAAAATAGACAGGGGGATGTTAAGAATAGTGTAGGAAATGGAGAAGCCAAAGAACTTATATGCACAACCCATGGACATGAACTAAGGGGGGCATTGCTGGAGGGAAGGGGGGTACCAGGCATAGGGAGGCAAAGGGGGAAAATTTGAGACCTGGGACAACTGTAATAGCATAATCAGTAAAATATACTGTTAAAAAAAAAAAAGAGAGAGAGAAAGAGCTAGAGCAAGGGCCCAGATAATAAATATTTTAGACTTTGGCGGGGAAAAAAAAAGCTATTAAGTCAGCAGTATCTAACGCTCCACCTTTCCTTCACATGTCAAGGCAGAAGGTGAAAAAATGATAAAACTTTAAGGTTCAGCTGAAATACTTTTAGGACCAATAATACCACAGAGTATAAGGGGGGAGAATTTATTCATTTCTTTAATTCTAACACCATGGAAAGATTTTATCTGAGACTTTGCATGAGTTGGTCATATTAACCTGATTTACTTTAATTCTCCCAACATCAATTTTAAAAAATCTTTATGTTTACATCTCAAGAGTCTAGCAGAGAACAAGAAAAATCAGTTGTGTGTGTGTCATTTTTCTGAGAGTTTTTTAAGGCACAGTGATAGTGAGAGCAAATCACAATTTCTCGTTTCTGTTTCAGGCTACTATCCTGGAACAAATATAGCAAAAGTTGTCATTGCTAACAGGAATGAAAAATGTAACCCTAAACATAAATCTTCAAGAAATAACATTTCAAAGCACCTAAATGAGACATTAGAAAAAGTGATGTAATACAGAGCTCTGGCTCCTTAATGAACATTAAAACAGCAGGCCTTAGTGGGTACTTACCGCCACCATACATGACAGCCAACATGATGGAGGATATCCATGACACTTCACTGGTGGTGGCATTGAATATTCCTTCAATTTCTTTGAAGAACACAGTAATAGACTTGGGGAATGCATAAGAGAAGCCGATGGAAATGAAAGCTCCAACTACCACTGCCCACCCCCAGCCTCCATCTGGCGGGGTGTATCCAACTGGACCTCCAACTGCTGGTGGCATTTTAAGGGTAGATGAATTCTAAAATGCAGTTCAAATCCAAATATCTGAAGGATATAAAATTAAAATAGTATGTCAGCAATAAACCACTCCCACCAAGCACCACTACCAACAAACAATTCCACCCGTTACACCAAGCTCTCAAGTAACTGAATTGTTTTGCAATGTTACTGGTCCAAAAGGCATTATCTTCTAAGAACATTATCAGAAAAAGCCTTAGCACCATGATACCGCCCAGTTTGTAGCAGATAGCTCTTCACCAGGTAAGAAACCATAGCTAATATAAATCCTTTTCAGTGTAGCCTTTGTACTTTGAATAAGCCTACTTGTTTTAGCAGTTAATAAGTTGAATAATTTGAGGAATTAACTTAATGCCTCCTTTAACTTATCTTGCAAAATCACATAACATATATCCTACAAAAGTTCAATTTAATATAGGATTTTTGTTTTTCACTTTGCCAAAATGTATTCTTCTATACTTTCTTTTTACCTTGTCTTATTTATATGCTGACTTAAAGTATCAGGAAATAGGTACTGGACTCAGTAGATACATAACAATTTGCAAAGTAGATCATTTTGAACACAAACATTTCATTTAATGGGTTGGAAGATTATGTCAAAAAATGGTAGTTTCAAGTAAGAGATTATACCTTTTTTTGAAGCCACCTAGTAATGAATATTATGTTTAGAAAATGAAGCTTCCTGTTAGATTATGGATAAGGAGATGTGAGTGTTTGGTGGTAGGCCTGTTTTCTCATAAAGGTCTCCTTTAATTTATTTAAAGCCAGCATTCACCCTATATTATAACTCATCCTACAGCGCTGTGTTAGCATGTTCATTTCAAATGGTCTCCACTCAGATTAAAAATCACTACATACATACATAGGTCACAGATGATAAGTTCACTCTTGTTTACAACATTCTTCAGTCTAAAACACAATCCTAGCTCAATAGTGTAGTAGTTGTACAGTAGTCAACTCCTAAATACTATTCCTTCCAACCCATCTGAACACTTCAAATATAATTCAGAACAATGGACATTGTAAAGGTAGTAAGAAAATAGCCTATAGGGGAATTTTCCCTAAAAACAAGGATATGGGTTTCACCACTTCTACTCACATTGTGGTTGAGGTTCTAGCCAGTGTTTGCAGGCAAGAAAAAGAAAAGGCATAAAGACTGGAAAGGAAGAACTGAAGTTGTCTTATTTACAGATGTCTACGTAGGCAGTGCTAAGGAATACACAAAAAAGGCACAAAACTAAAAATGAACTTAAGCAGGTCTCAGCCTACAAGATCAATAAAATTAACTTTCTATAAACCAGTAACAATTGGAATTTGAAATTTAAAAAAATACCATTTATTACAGAATTAAGAAACTGAATAGGGGTAATCTGACAGATGATATATACACTGAAAACCACAAAATATTACCAAGAAATTTAAAAGCTAAATAGATAACCCATCCTCATGGTTTGAAAGACTCAATATTTAAATTAGGCAAAGATTTATGAGGGCACTTAGAAGCACTTTATCAAAAGTTTATAAATTGGGGTCTGGCTGGGTGGCTCAGCTGGTTGGAGCATTATCCTGTACACCAAAAGGCTGTGGGTTTGATCCCTGGTTGGGGTACTACAGGAGGCAACAGATTGACATTTCTCTCTCTCTTCCCCTTCCCCTCTCTCTAAAAGCAAGAAACATCCTCAGGCAAGGATTTAAAAATAAATAAATAAAATAAAGTTTATAAATTGGATTTCATGCTCCACATTGCGAGAAAGTATATACAAAACATATGCAACAAAACATGTCCAGAACATAAAAAGAACTTCTATGGCTCAACAGCTAAAAGACTAACAACCCAATTAAAAAATAGGCAAGAGATCTGAGCAGATACTTAACCAAAGAAGATCCACAGGTGGTAAGCATATAAAAAGTGCTCAAAATTAGTAGTCATTTGTGAAATGCAAATTGAAATCATAATGAGATACCATACACATCTATTAGTATGACTGAAATTAAGAATGCTAACACAAAGAGTTGGTGAGCATATAAAGCAAATGGAATTGTTACACTGCTGGTGGTAAAGCAAAACAGTACAGCCAGGTTGGAAACATTTTGGCAGTTCCTTATAAAGTTATATATACATTTAACATATGATCCAGCCATTACACTTACAGGTATTATACAAGAGATAAGAAAACATATGTCTTCATTTTTTTTTTAAGATTTTATTTATTTTTATAGAGAGAGGAACGGAAAAAGAAAGAGGGAGAGAAACATCAATGTGTGGTTGCCTCTTGCACTCCCCCAACTGGGGTCCCAGCCCACAACCCAGGCATGTGCCCTGACTAGGAATCGAGCCGGCAAACCCCTGGTTTGCAGGCTGGCACTCAGTCCACTGAACCACACCAGCCAGAGCTATACCTTCAAAGATTTAAGTGAGAATTCTCCAGTAGCTTTATTCCTACTTGCTCAAAGCTGGAAAGAAAACCCAAGTATCTACCAACAAGTGAACTGATAAACAAATCATGGTATAGCCATATAATGGAATACTACTCAGCAATAAAAAGGAACTTATGCATGCAAGAACACGATGAATTGCAAAAGCATTACTTAAGCCCTGGCCAGGTGGCTCAGCTGGGTGGAACACTGTCCTGTGTGCCAAAAAGTTGCGGGTTCAATCAATGGTCAAGGCCATATATGAGAGGCAACAGACAGATGTTTCTCCCTCCTTCTCCCACTTCTTTCTCCCCCTTCCTCTATCTCTAAAATTAATAAACATATCCTTGGGTGAGTATTTTTTAAAAAAAGCATTCTGTTTAGTGTAAAAAGTAACATTATATTCTATATGGTTACATTTATAGATGTCCTAGAAAACACAAGATTCTAGTAACAGACAAAAGATCAGGAGTTGGGGAGAGAAGGCTAACTGCAAAGGGGCATCAGAGAACTTTCTTGGTGATATAAATGCTCTATTGATTGTGGCAGTGGTTACTCATCATATTGTACATTTAAAAGTGGCAAATTTTATTGTTGTTTAAATCATACCTCAATAAAGCTGATCAAAAACAAAACTAGTGCAAGGGCAGTAACAAGGGATAAAATCTCTTCAGTGGCACAGGGAGACAATAGGGAAGCAAAAGGAGATGGCAGGCAAAGTTCTTCATCTTGGCTGTCTGGGTGGTTGAAAGAAAGAATAGGAAAAGAAAGAGGGTGAAGAAGAGGACAGACAACTCTCTCCTGAGAATTCACGACAACAGGCCTGTGCGAGCTCATGCTGGGCAGGGCAGTGTTTGGAAAACTCTGTTCTTCCAAGGACATATGTTTGATTTCGCTAGCAAAGATTCCCCACAGGGAAAACCCTGCCAAATATAAACTGACAATCTAAAATTTCAAAACACATCAAGAATCAATTACCATATTTTGCCGTGTATAATGCGCACTTTTTAGCCCAAATTTTTGAGGGAAAAATAAGTATGTGCATTATACATGGGTAGTACCTGAAATACCTTGTATCTGTTCTTGTTTTGTAATTATTTGTGACATAAAATTTCTTGTACCATAATATGTTCAAAAATAAATGCTGAAATTCCTTTATAATGCAAAAAACAAGTATCTAAATATAAATTAAAAATTGAATTTAAAAAAAAGGTTTTATTTTTTCTGAAAGTTTGGGCCAAAAACATGGGTGTACAACAAAACACGGTAACCATAAATGAAGTAAAGCCAATACAACACAGCTGGATTAGACAACAACTACAGACATGACATGGATATTTAAAATGGCTAAAAGCATGATGTAAGGTATTAAAACCACTACAAAAGTTAACTTGACTAATTGATTTGAAACAAAATTTCTAGAAATGAAAAGTATATTCAGTGAAATTAATAATAGGTTAACCAGCAACTGAACACAGCTGGAAAAAGAGACAGTGAACCTGCAGGATAGGTTTGAAGAAAAAAGTCAGAATTCAGTGGACAGCTTTATTATAAAGCTATGAGAAAAAGGTTTAGGAACATGGAGTTTAGAGAATGGGAGGACCAAGCATACATTTAATGAGACTTTGGAAAAAGAGAATGGAAAAAAGCAATTTTTTTAAGGGTTAATGGCTAAAGATACAGACTTGATGAATAATGTGAACCTACAGTATGAAGAAACCCAACAAGATAAAGAGAAAAATCTTTAAAAACACTATTGAAAAAAATACAGATTACTTAAGTAATGAGTGACAAACAGAAGTCTCATCAATTTTGAAAAACTCAGCCACTGGCAAATACTGGTTCTTCCCCATTCCCTCTTTCCACTCTTCTGAGACTCCAGCAGGATGTGGGGCAGGACTTTCCCATAGTTTGTACTCTTTCTCTTCTGTGTTTTCCATCCTTTTGTTTCTCTGTACTAAGAAGTCTCTGTACTAAGAAGCCTAAGTTGTTATCTTTCTCCAGAAATGACTTTCATTCACCTAGGGCTATGTAAACCCAGAATCTCTTTAAGAACATTTCAAGGATCAAGATGTTTTAGAGGTTGCAATTCATTTGAGGGCTGGTTTGTCTCCTATTCACCCTTTGTCCTACAGCACAGCCCTTCAGAATCCTAACCCAGAAGAACAGGATGTTACGTTACCAGAGTTGTCACTCTTAAGGTCCTTGACTCTGACATTTTCCCCTTGGACCCATGAAGCTTACCGAAGCGTTACTCAGGCCATTGGAAACGGCTCATCTTTCTATAACCCGAAAGACTTTGATTCCATCCATAATCATATCACTGTTGCCACAATTAGGAAACCAACAAGAAACTGGCAAAATCAGATAATCATCAAAATCAGGATGGCACCACAATTAGGGGTTGTTATTGTCCGCTGCTAGCTCTAAAACCACATTTGCCTCCTATGAGAGCACCATCAAAATGGATCCCACATGTCCTGTGTGTCTCAAGATCTCAAAGCCAGTGACTAGACATGAAGACATCTATTCTGTTTCTGCCTTACAAATGTCACACAAATGGATTTGACTAGCAGAACTCTAATCCAATCCAGAAATATAGTTGCAAGGGA